AGATTTCTCAGATGCCAAGGAGGCAAAAGCATTTCTCCGGAGAACCATGAAGACACGAGGAGCTCAGTTGAAAGACACAACTTAGTTTGGAGGGAAAAGGGAATACAGTACTGCAAAATAGTTCCCTTTGGCTTTCACCTGTGTGGTACCAATTTTTGAAAAGCTGTTTGTTATATTATGATACTAATTGTAACATTAACTAATGGTAGTGTTAACAAAATCATGGAGTTAAAGTAGCAAGATGTGAGGCCCAGGAAGATAAGAAATAAGGGTGAAGAGAAAGGTAGGGGTCAGGTTGCAGAAGGCTGTGCCCAGGCCAGGGGAGTGACTGAAAGCGAGCAGTAGAGTGACAGGATCACGGCTGCTGTGGATAGTTCACTCTGAAGCCTGAGTGGAGGATAGAGCTCAGAGGCCAGGATGCTGTAGCAGTGACTAGGGAAGAAATGATGAGGGCGTGTTTATAGAATGCATTACCAGGTTCAGCTTTCTGGTATGTTACTTCATTTGTTTTTCACAGCAGTCCTTTGCAGTCAGTAAGATTCACATCATCATTTTGTAGGTGTTTACCTCTGTACTTTGTGTATATCATCCCTGACCTTTACAAAAACCCTATAAATTAGGTATGATTAGCTCACTTTACAGAAGTTGGTACTGAGGCAGGGTAAGGAGCAGCCCAGGTCCAGTGTCTAGTGCAAGGCTCATTTTGAATAGCAGGTGAGTCCTGCTTCTCTAGAGAATAAAACACGACAGCCCTTCCAGGCCAACCTATACCCTGGAAACACCTCTCAGGACTCGGTGTGGCAATAAGACCACCGTGCCCAGCTTCTTAAGTATTTCTGTCTCTGCAAGGGTCCCATTGAACAGAACAGTGTGGCGGTTCCTCAAAATAGTAAACACAGAATTACCACGTGACCCAACAATTCTGCTTCTAGGCGTATACCCAGAAGAAGTAAAAACAGGATCTCAAACATGTAGCACACCTGCGTTCATGGCACCATTACTCATCATACCCAAAAGGTGGACACAGCTGAAGTGTCCACTGATGGAGGAATGAATAAACGAAATGTGGTCTCTGCCTGCAATGAAACAGGATTCAGCCTTACGAAGGAGGGAAATTCTGACCCATGCTCCAGCACAGATGAACTTCGAGGACACCTAAGTAAAATCAGCCTGTCACAAAGGACAAACTGTAATTACACTTAGTCAAATTCATAGAAATGAACAGGGGAGTGGTGGTGGCCAGGGGCCAGGAGGAGGAAGGAATGGGAGGTTACTGTTTAATGGGTAGAGAGTTTCAGTCTGGAAAGATGAAAAAAGTTGTGGGGTGGATGGTGGTGATTCTACAACAATGTTTGTGTGCTTGATGCCTCCGAATGGAACATTTGTAAATGGTTAAAAAGGGAAACTGTACCTTATGTGTATTTTACCACCAAAGACAAAAATCATGTTGAGTGTCATGTTATGAACAGATAACCAAAGTATGGGTACATGTGATAGATTAGTGATAAGGAAGACTAGGAAATACACGTCCAAAAGTAAAACAGACATCTCGTAAGGCCCAGCCCAAGAAAAGAATGCTAGCTGGATTTCTAGAGACAGCTCACGGGAGTGCAAGGCTGGAAAGTACCGAAGATAGCATTTAGTGCAACCTTCATTTTCCACAGATGCAAACAGGGAGGCCCGAGTTATCCGGGGATTTCCCCAGAGTCACTGAGCAAGTTCAGACAAGGGGAGAATGCAGAGGGAAAACCTGGCCTCTGCCAGATAATCGCACCTGAGAGGGACAGGGACTTGCAGCCGACAGAGCTGTGCTCGGGACTTTTTATGGAAGGAGAAAGAAACCAAACTTGGTTTCCATCTTTATCAGCCTTGTGGTAGCAAATTCATAGGATTGCAATTACTGAAGAAATTTAGGTGCTTAGCTTTTGGTGTCATTCATTCATTCTCAAATATTCCAGGGACTGTCCTGCTAAATATCCTCTCCAGTTTCCAGTTTTTCTATCTAGTAACAGCTATCTGCCAGCTTTATTCTAGCTGCTCTGCCAGTCACCCTCAGACATAAACTCTTAAGTTATATAAACCTTCATTGGCTCCCGGAAAGGTGTTTGGGGAACAGGTAGAGTTGAAGGGGAGGTGACAGGAGACAAAGTGGCAGGGTGTCAAATGCCAGAGAGAGCTGTGATTCCAGTGAGGAAGCCACCCAACGCGAAAGGGTTGTTAGCAGGACAGGTGTCGAGGGCTACAGGTGCAGAAGGATTGGAGTCCTGCTCAGGGAACTCGCCCTGGCACAGTCCCAGCATGGGGACTGCCCAGAGTTGTTAACCCCTGCATGGAGGATCAGAGCGATGCATGGAGCCAAGCAGAGGTGCAAAGGAAGGGGAAGAGACACGCAACATAGTGCGATCGGGAAAAACCCTGATTTCATGGAGTAACGTCCCCATCTTGTAGGCTCTAAGGATAAAGCCAGATCAGCCCTGTACAACTATATGCATAAATGTGAATAGAACCCCTTTTAGCTGTGGCTCGTGTGTCTCAGTAGATTGAGTACCAACCTGCAAACCAAAGGGTTGCTAGTTCGATTCCTAGTCAGGGCACATGCCTGGGTAGTGGGCCAGGTTCCCCAAAAGGGGGTGGGTGAAAGGCAACCACACATTGATGTTTCTCTCCCTCTCTTTCTCCCACCTTTCCCCTCTCTCTAAAAATAAAGAAATAAAATCCTTTTTTAAAAAAAGAACCCCTTTGTGTAAAATTAAATGTAGGGACCTGCCTACTTCCAGGAGACCTGAGGTACAGGATACAAGTAAAATAACTTACAAAATAAGGCATTAGGGTAATTTAGTAAAACAAGCACCATATTTGAAACCGCCTAAGAAGGAGGGGCACAGTGCCCGGCGTATAGGAGGCACACACCACGAGCTGTTTTTAAAATTGTACAACATAAAAGCGGTCATAGCAGTGAAGCAGAAATAGATCCTACCAGGTACCTGAGATGAAACATTTGGGCATGGAATTTGGCTTTAAATTCCTTTGGAAGCCACGATATAAAAAGGAAACAGGTTGGGTTACATCACTTTCTTATTCTGGCAATATAAAATATACAGATTCAATTATAGAGAAGACTTTTTTCCCCCAGAGCTAAATTCAAAGACAGATATATCAGATGGGCTCCTTTGAATATAATTTTGAAGCTTTGTACAGTATCTTCAATACCATTTTATGGACAACTCCAAAAATGTCCTGTAGATGAATGGCGTTTATGCAGCGACACTCTTGTTACCTTTCGTGGCAGCTACCTGGAGTTACCATGAATGCGTAAAGTATTTTTCTGCTAGAATACTGCAGCGGCAGGATCCTGGGAGTGTCACTCTCAGAAAGCTACCCGACGCTGAGTCACCAGAAGAACCTAGAGATGTGGGTAGAATTGGACATCCGAGTGGGTAAAGGTCCCGTCGTCTGTGGGACCAAGCCGCCATTACTGTCCTCCAGGGCGGAGGATCCCTGGGTGGGAAACAAGAGCGAAGTGGTCCGACAGACTTTTAAGCTTTGAAGCAAGAGTAGAATAAGCCCTGTGCTGCTCTTGACATAGATGGCAGGCTCTAGGGACATAAACGACTGTGGCTGGTGGGTAGACCAGCAGTCAGCCACTAGCCAGGGAACATGCTTCGGGTAGAGGGAAGGTTGCGAGGTAGTGGGAAGGCCTAGACTTTGAAGTCGGATAAGTCTGGTTCAGCTCCTAGCTCTGTGACGTACAGATACGTGATTTCACAGATGACTTGATTTTTCTGGTCCTCAGTGGGATATTTACATCTACCTGGTATGAGTCATTTTACTGATCAGAGACAAGATATATAAATAGTAATAAAAAGCAGTAGCCAACAATTATGGATGCTTAACTTAGATGAAGCAGTCTATTAAGTGCTTTACATGCATTATTTCATTTAGTGTTCAAAGCAGCTCTCTGTGGCACCCACCACCTGGTACTTAGTAGGTGCTCAACACGTGGTATTTATTAGCGTTAGTAGTATCAGTTATAATAATAAGTCAATCAGGTAAAAGAGGCCATCTTTGCCCTGGGAATTAGTGGCTAGAACAGGAGTCAGCAAACACTAGGTCAGAGGCCACATCTGGCCATTGTCTGTTTTTGTACAGTTGGTGAGCTAAGCGTGGTTTTTACGTATTGAAATGGTTGAAAAAAACTGAGCCCTGGTTGGTGTGATTCAGTGGATTGAGTGCTGACCTGGGAATCAAAGGGTTGCCAGTTCGATTCCCAGTCAGGGCACATGCCTGGGTTGTGGGCCCAGGTCCCCAGTGGGGGGCGTGGGAGAGGCAACCAGTGGATGTATCTCTTACACATCAATGTTTCTCTCCTTCTCTTTTCTCCTCCCTTCCCAGCTCTCTCAAAATAAATAAATAAAATCTTTTTTTAAAAGAAAAAGATTGAAAGAAGAATAACGTAACATTTTATGACATGTGAAAATGACACAAAATTCAAATTTTAGTGTCCATAAATAAACCTTTCCTGGAACACAGCCATATCCTTTAGTTCACACATGGTCTGTGGCTGCTTTCGTGATACAATAGCTGGGTTGAGTAGTTGTGGCAGAAATGTGAGTGGCCCACATTGCCTAAGATACTGACCACGTGGCCCTTTACAGAACGTGTTTGCTGACCCCTGATGGGGAACAGACCTCCAGGGATCAGGACAGTTGCGGAGCAGAAACTAAGGCAACCTCACAATAAGCAGGGCTGCCCCGGGGTGAGTGTGAAGCAATGGGATCCAGAAGGAGCAAAACTCCCACTGGCCTCAGTTTTGGGCCTGTGGACAAGAGATGTGGTCGGCTGCTTTAGGGCCAACGTGGACGAGTTGAGGGGAGAGAGAGAGCTTGGGCTGGACCACCTCTCTGCAGGTCCTCCAAGTTCAGCCAATCTGGGACTAGAACCAAGTAAAGAAGCAGATAAAACAATCTGAGACCTGCGAGCTGCTCTTTTTTTTTTTTTTTGAATGTTACAGGTCACCATTGCAATAAAATCACGTGATGAAAGCATAGCCTGGGGCTCTGTGTAGCCACATTAGCAGTTTCCAGACACCATGAACAGTAGTGTCCATTTCATCTAGGCTGAGGCTTGTGAGTCGTTCATTTTTATGCTTTTGAATGTTTGCTTTTCCCTTTGCGTTCTAGCAAAACTTCTCTTTCACATATTCTAATCTTATTTAAGCTAGTTGGGGGGAAATGATGGATTCATACCTGGGCCAGGATAAAGTCCCAACTTCGTAGCTGTTCTTAGTCATATAATGTCTGGTCTGGTCCCTTCTCACTTGTCGAGACTCATCTTCCAACCACTCCCTGCACACCCTGTGCCCCTGGAAGTAAGCCTGTTCCACAGCTCATGGTTTTTTGTTTTTTTTTTTATACTTGGCTGCTTGCTCTGCTTTCCAGCTTTCTACATCTTCCCTGCCTGCAGCAATGTCCTCCTCCTTCAGCACTGCTGCGGCATTCCCGCCTGTCCTGGGAGGGAGGACCATGTCTGCCTCTTCGCCCTCTGCCTGCTACCATGGCGCCTGTCACTCCCTGGGCATCCGTTGTTGAATCCTTCAAGATTAGGAATGCTAAAATCTTGGCACATCCCCTTGCTTCTGGGACATAGTACCCTAAGTGTGTGAAGGATAATCAGCGTACCCTAAAGGGCCAGGAGCAGCAAACTTTCCAGCTCAGGAACCTGGAAATGATGGGTAAGAAATGGGCAGATAAATGAAAAGCCAGGCAAGGAAAGCCCATGATGGCAAAGTTCCTGCCTGGGTTTTCATTTTTGATTTTGTTTGTTTTTCTCTTAAAAAGAATATTGAATAACTCAGTAGGAGATACCCTACTGAGGGTATAATAAACATAGTTTATTCTTGTATTATTTATTAATTATTGTGTTTTTCATACAGACAACTGTAAACTTCCTTTTGCTCCACGCTGTATAGATGGCTGGCGTGGCCAGCAGATGGGATCTTTGGAGGGCAACTGTCTCACTTGGACTCTTACCACTCCCAGCTGACAGTTAAGAGTCTTGGCGCCGTGAAGGACCTTGTGTAGTGGCCTCTTGGCGTTGGTATTTGCACAACCCAAGGGTTGTATCTGCACTTGAGAGTTTGTCGCTGGTGACTTTGATCTCTTGATTGAGTGACCACTGTGATATCAAAACTTTATTTCCCAGGCACAGTTGGAGTCTTATCTTGTTTTTTTTTCCAAACCCAGATTCATTATCACCTTCCGGCCTGCTGAATCTTATCGGCCACTCTGGGCTGTCACACCATTTGTGAGATCTTCTCCACGCGGCTGATCTGCATCCGGCTGGCAGTTAGCTGTGCGGAAATGCGGAGAGTCCTATCGGCAAATCTAAAAGTTCCTCTTTGAGATCAGTAATGAAGACTACCCCAGCACTAACAGTTTTCATTTATAAAAGAGACCTTTTAGAGATCAGTGGTCTTACTCTAATCAAACATTTACTTTCCGATTGCCTCCTTCCTTCGACTTACCGAATTTTGGTAAGGCGGTGCAATGGTTCCTGCCATCAGGTGCAGCCTCGTGGCCTCCAGCCAGTTCTTCTGTTTTTTCCTCCTCTCTCCTATTCTGCACAGCGGTTTTCCAAACGGCCTCCATCCTCCCTAAAACTCCCACCCTTGGGTTCTCCTCACTCTCTGCAAATGACCCCGCCTGCTAGTTTATGGAGAAGACAGGCTGTGAGGCAGTGATACCTTCAAGTTCCTGCTACTGTGCCAAGAACTGCAGCGTTCATTCTGTGTGCATCCTTCTCTGCCCGGTTCCCACGGAAGAGGCAGCCTTCCCTTGGGTTGGAACTGGCCTTTAGATCCGTGCCTTGACCTCCTCCTCCCTTCTCAGGGACTTCTCTCAATTAATTATTCCATCTCCTGCATCTTTCTCATTAGCTGTACAAATTCTTCTATCTCATCCACCTGAAAACATCTCCCTGTGGCAGCCTCCCCCTCACAAAACAGCCCCTCGACTTAGAATTGTTTCCATTCACCGACCGCTTCCTCACCTCAACCCTTCAACCTTCTTCAGTTGGTTTCCACTCCCATCCCTCCACTGAGACCTTCCTTGCAAAGGGTGCCAGCCACCGCCTTGTTGCTAAAGCCAGTACCTAAGTCTCAGTGATTGTCACACTGATCTTGCAGTGGCATCCGACTTCACTGGCCAAATGCTTCTCTTGGAAAATTCTCCTTTGTTGGCACTGCAGTTTCCCAGGTTCCTCCTCTTACTTCCTCCTTGGGCTCATCTTCCTCAGCATCACTTCTTCGGTGCTGGTTACACCCTGGGCTCTGCTCTCACCGTCCCCACTCTTCCCGTAACTTGGTTCCAAGTGACAGAACCCAAACTCATATCGAACTAAGTAACAAACCCACCAAACCACCACCAGCAAAAACCGCAATGAAGGAAATGCACGATTCTGGTGCCTGAGAAGTTCAGGGGTGGATCTGGGAGAGCAGGTCCCAAGACGCGACACAGGGATGTCACAGACAGCCTCACTCTGTCTCTTAGCTCTGTGTTCCTCGGAGTTGGCTCCATTCTCAGGCAGTCTCTTTCCAAATGATGGCAAAGGGCCTCCTGGCAACTGCAGGCGGGTAGCCAGTCCTCTCAGCGAACACAATGGAAAGTTTCCTACCCAATTTCTTAATCTGGAAGTTGGGGAATCATTTTTGACTCTCCTCCCCCAACATCTGCTCAATCACCGAGTCCTACACCAACTTCTAAATCTCTCTCCACCACTGCCGTTCATGTTCAAATTCAGGTCCCCACCTTCCGTCCAGATTCCTGCAATAGCTTCCCAGTGATGTTCTGTCTTAGGTCTTGCTGCCTTACAATCTATTCTTCACACCACAGCCCGTGTAATTCTTTGGAAATGTTTATCTGATCCCATTACTTGCTTACACAAACCTTTGCTGGAAAGCTAAAGGCAAAAGTCCTTTTCTTTTTCTTTTTCTTAAAGATTTTACTTATTCATTTTTAGAGAGAGGGAAAGAGAAGGAGAGAAATATCAATGTGTGGTTTCCTCTCACATGCCCTGTACTGGGGACCTGGCCTGCAACCCAGGCATGTGCCCTGACTGGGAATCGAACTGGCTCACAGTTCGATTTGGTTCACAGCCCATGCTCAGTCCACTGAGCTATACCAGCCAGGGCCAAAACTACTTTTCTTATATAAGGTATTGCACAATATAGCTGCTGTTTACTTCTCTTTTCTCTCTCTTTTTTCATCTTCACCCGAAGTCATGCCTTTTGACTTCAGATTGAAGGGAAGGGAGGGAGAAAGAGAGGGAGAGAAACATCAGTGTGAAAAACTGATCTGTTGCCTCTCCTATACACCCCAGCTGGAGACCGAACCTGCAACCTACTGGGGACCACACCTACAACCTAGGCATGTGCCCTGAGTGGGAATTGAACCTGCTACCTTTTGGTGCACAGGGCCATGCCCAACCAACTGAGCCTCATCAGCCAGGGCCTCTCTGCTCTTTTCACTTCTCATCTCATCCCTGGTTCTGGACAGTTCAGTCACACGTGCTGGGTTGGCCAGCTCTGTCCCACCCTCTGCACCTTTTCACACAGTGCTCCCCTTCCTGAACCCTGTCCCCGTTGACCCCCTTCCTAGCGAACTGCTCCGTACCCTTTCAGGTCTCATGTGGGACATAGCTGCATTGAGAAAATGCTCCCATCCTGCAGTACATACATACTCTTCCCGATGAACGTTCTCCTTTTTCCGTGTTAGCACTTAACACACTGTATTGTAATTGCTAATTAAATGTAGCAAGGTCTGTGAAGGCCGGTATTTCCCTCGTTTTGTGAAATGTCTCCAGCATCACAGAGTAAACACTCAATGAGTATTTGTCAAATTGTAAAGTAAACTGAGAAGTGGTTGTACTGGGTGACTTTCTCATTCTCTTCCAGATTATTCGATGAGCTACTGGAACATCCAAAAATATAGTGCCTCTTGCTCTTGTTTGTTTTATATGCTCATGGGTCCTCCGTAGAGAATAGTCAAGTTTTAGAATCGAAGAAGATCTTAGTAATCATCTCGCGTGCACTCACTTCATTTGACGGATCAGGCAGGGGGAGCTCAGAGGAGCCCAGTCATTTACACAAACCACATGGCTACGCCCAGTCGTGTAATCGGGCCAGAACTGAGAGCTTCTGACTTCTAGTCCAGAGTGACTTACGATGTCAGCACTTTGCCCAGACTCGCGTTGTGTGATTTTTACATTAATTTAAAGGAATCTTACTGCCTGTGGCCTCACAGGTTTTACTTTTTAAAATGTGCTTCCAGATCCTGTACAGGACAATCAATTCCATCAGTTTTTTTGGGGTGAAAAATACTCACTGGTCCAGAGATGCCTAAAGCATCCCCTAGAGCTTGTCCTCGCAGGCAGGGTCGAGGCTGGATGCCGCGGGCGCTCTAACGCCGCCACGGAAAACTGAAGTTGCACCTCTGATTTATATGTTCCACCCCTTCACCTCAGAAGGGTAGTTACTAAGGAGATGCCATCTGGATTCAATCTGAGGGACATTCATGTTGTGTAAGAGAAGTAACAGACTTCCCTGTTTAACTCTTTGTATGGGCTCCAGTCCTTCTGCCAGGCTTTGCCGATGGACGGCCTCTCCAAGCTGGGATGTCCTTTACTCTGTTGGAAAGACAGTCACTTCTATAAAAACCATGTTGGTGTTTGGAAAAGACTGAGTAAAGGTGATTTTCTAAAACTAATTATAATAGAACCGGGTATGGGTGAGAAAGCAAATATTAGGGACATTTTTTGATTTTTAGAAAAAATTTATTTAAAATTTAAAATCTTAATTTGTTAAAAATTTAAAAAGACATTTTAAGGAAATCCAAAATGGAACCTCTTGACCAAAGCATTCAATTAATGGACCTATTCCAAAGAAAATTCCTCGAAAATTCAGAGATTATGCATAAATGTTCTTCAAGCATTCATTTACAATGAAACATTCAATGTATCTTTTCACTCTGATTCCTTGCTCGAACTGATTGTTTCAGTTAACTGAGTTCCCTACCCTTTCGCCTTTTGCATGTGGACTCATCGTGTGCTTCTGAGTCTTTTTGCGTAGTT